TCGACCACGGTAGACTAGTCCAACCAACTTATCAATGGAGTTGACTTACTACCGGTGGTGTGTAAATGGGGAGACCATCGTATAAATAACCGTAATAAACACTAACCAGTAATAATAAATTGTAAAATAATGTAACCCCCCCCCCCCCCCCCCCTTTTCCCCCTCTATCCCCCCATGACAATGGAAAGTGACTGGTATAGCCTTTACGAGCATGGATCGCCAATTTAAATTTATAATAAATAAACAAACACAGAATTTGAATCATTTACCGCTAGAGTTACCTTATTTGCTGAGAAGTGTATCCGACCGCCTATGGACGGAATGATACAATGTGATTTTTGATGTGTTGAGTATTTAGTTAACTAGATCACTACCTTAGGTTCAACCTATATAATAAGAGACAACTTGAAGGGGCCTATTTTCCTGCCACCAGGGGGGTGTCCACATTATCACAAGCGTAAACGTAAGTCAGCGTTGCGGCTAGAAAACCTTCATCGGCAGATGACATAAACAGACAATTTATAGGAAAGAAAATGGCTGTCTTAGACCCACAGATATACAGTCACCGGGTCCTTCGAACCAGATCGAGAGACAACTGTGAGAGCTACCGTATTATTATCAATCCTCAGTCACAGTCAGTTGCGTGACCTTTTACATGACTTCACAAACCAACAGCAACATTTATCTTCTGTTGCACTAGGTTTTCTTTTTAATAGTTTGCCATTGCTTCCTGAATCGTATGGCGCTCGCACCGTTATCAAAATGAAAAAAGAGCGATCTAAAATTTCGTCTGCAGTTGACTTCGAACCTGGTATGTCGGGATTGTGACAATGAACTCACAACCTATAGTTAATATTCGACTACTTCACAGTTGTGAGATCACAAAGAATTCTCACATCGATTCAAATTTAACCCTGAATCTTCAAATCGCTATTCAGTAGCCAAAATAACTAGGGACGGGTACATTTAGTTCAGACATCTAGTGCCGCAAACCGGCCTTGACCCGGCACCCGTACGGTGCACGCAGGTTTACCTAATAGCTGTTCTAAATACTGGGCGGGATTGGGGCACCAAGCTAGTTCACGGTAAAACGTGCACCTGCTCACTGAAGCGTGTAGCTTTGTGCCACAACCACGGCAGCTCTCTCACATGCTCGAGAAGTCACTTCCCGCCATTGCTGCGTCTTCATTGATCCTGTCTGCAAGTCTGCTGTCGATTGGCGCCGGCTCCTCCATCAAGGTCATTTTTTTTTTTAAGTTTGGCGCGAACGCTGGAACTTGGTTCCCCTGTGTGCGCGCGAGTTTCTGTTTGTTTATAAGCCCGTGTTAACTCATTCAGGCCCAGCCAGTATAAACAAATCCAATCATCTCCTTGTGAGATGCAATTCTTCGGTTTTTGAAACCCCACCCAGGCTTTGGCCAGGGGCCGCAATATAGCCCGACCATAAATATGGTCTAATGGCTGAAAGCGGTTTCTGGGAACTCTCCACGGTGATCCTCATCCACAAGGTGGCATTTTGTGTCATGTCCTAATGGGATACTACAACTATTACAATTTCAGGCCCATTACGTGGCTTCCTTAACTTCTGATGTTTTAAGAAATTCTGCTTTAAACTTTCCAGTGAAGCTCCGTGGCTCCGTTTTGGAGAAAAAAGGATAGACCCCCCCCCCCCCCCTCTTCCCTCCCCCCTCCCCCAACCTGAAAATCATGTCAAAACTAATTTACTCCAGAGAAACCAACAGTCTGCAAACAAATAAGCCAAAAATAGACAACAACTATTTAGGTAAACATTTTTTTGGACAAGTAAACAGACAGAAAGAAGTTACAACAGAAATTACAAGTCAAGAGCAGCTTTGAAAAGTCTGAACAAAAAACACTAGCTCTAAAATATTTAGTTTTAAAACTAAGTTAAGTATTTTCAGTTGTAAAAATTTCCCACTTTTAACACGTATCAGTCTTAGTCTTGGTCGAGATTTTAAAATCACTGCAGTGGAATGTGCCACAGACAAGTTAGAGAACCAGACGTAGAAAAAGTAGAAGGTATCTGAGCACAAATGTTTGGGTAAGTGGTGAATATTAAGTCAAGTCAAGTAAAAGACCCTTTCCCATGCCTACAGACGTATTGGGCATATAGGGCTAGACCTACATTTTACACAGCAATCGGCACTTGGTGGGTAATATAGTTACATTTCACCGGAAGCCTTTACTTCCCGGACTATATCCAGGACTAAGTCTCCAGGGCCAGATGACATCACGATTGGAGAATTGAAAGCTGCTGGTAAATTGGGTTTTGATGTTTTTGACAAACTTGTTTAATGATATTTATAACAGTGGACACATACCTGGTGATCTTTTGAAATCTTTTTTCACACCTTTACCAAAAACATCTGGGGCTGTGGAATGTGAAGAACATCGAACATTTAGTTTAAAGAGTCATGCAACTAAAATTTTATGAGAATTATTAGGGGAAGACTAAGGTGCAAAATTAAACTAGAAATTTGAGAAGAGCAGTGGGGTTTTGTTAAAGGTAAAGCCACAAACAAGGCCTTATTTATCTTGAGAATACTTTCAGAAATAATGATTGACTAGAATAGAGATCTGAATTTTCGCTTTATTTATTACACTAAAGCATTTCATAAAGTGAAACATAGAGGAATTATTAGAATTAGTAAATACTGATTTGGAAGCTGCGAAGATGTGGTTTTATGGACGAATGATGAGAATACCCTGGACAAATTAAAAAGAGTAATAATGAGGACATCTTGAGGGAAACTAGCTCACCAAAAGAACTGATTGAACACATCAGAAAGAGACAATCGACATTCTTTGATGAGGAGACAACTGGAGTACATCGTGACGGTAGGAAAGTCGGAGGGATGTTGGCAGGTGCTGGACAGTAGGACATCATGGCTTGGAGAATCATCTTTGTCAGAGTTGACTGAAAGTACACCGGACAGAATAGACATGATTACCAACACCGCACGGCATGGACTTTACAAAAAAGTAATGACGGTGATCAGGACAGGAAACATAATGGTAAGAGCTATTACGGCACATCCTTCTTCGAGTTCCCTGACTATAAACTTGGTAGGTAGGTTGTACCCTACTAGGACATCATACAAGCGATAAACACGTAGTGACAAAAAGTGCCAACATGTGCCCATATTTAAGGTCCGGCTATATTTAGGGCCCCCGGCAACGCCAGGGTGGGGCTTCAAAATAACTAAAAATTGCATCCCACAAGGGGACGACAATCACTTTCAATAATAAACTTGGTGAAAATTCTGGTTGGTCGTCCACTTTTGGACTTGATTCAATTCCAGAACTTTGGTTTTGCACCCACAACCGAGTTACATATCTGGTTCATTTGTAGGCAGACTGTGGTTCCTCGCTCCTTAGGTAGATGCACTCCGACTTCGAATAAAACATGCCTTATTGGCATTGTACAACATGCTTGTTGGCAGTGGGTGGGGATCAGGAAGCAGTGGGTCAATTCCCGCAACCCATGAAAGGATATACACTATTTGAATGAGGAGCGTGAAGTCATACACCTATTTAGGCAGTAATGTAGATAAAGATGGAGGAACTGGAAGAGATATTCAAATAAGAATACAAAAGGCAAGAGGGGCTTTCAAAGCACTAGAGAATTGGTGGAGGTTAAAAGAAATTAAAAGAAATACTAAACTAAAAATTGTTAATTCTAATGTCAAATCAGTACTATTGTATGGGGAGGAAACATGGAGAACAACTAAGGCAATTACTAATAAATTACAGACATTTATTAACTGGTGCCTGTGCAGAATAGAGGGAATAAAATGGTATGATAGAATAACTAATGTAGAACTTTGGGAGAGAACTAAACAGGCTCCAGTGGATCAGGAGGTGAGGAAAAGACGCTGGCGTTGGATAAGGCACACACTGATAAAACAGGAGAACAGCATAACTAGAATGTCTTTGCATTGGAACCCACAGGGGCATAGGATTAAAGGAAGGCCAAAAAACACACGGAGAAGAGAGCTGGAGAATGAGGTTAGAAAGATTGGGAGGACATGGGGGGAGCTCCATGTAATAGCGAAGGATAGAACGACTTGGCGTGAGTTGGTTGAGGGCCTATGCTCCATTGGGGGATAGAAAGGCAGAAGAAGAAGAATGAGGAGCAATATCTCTGCAACATTTATGCGTGCCTATGAAAATGCATGTGCTTATGTTTAAATCTTGTGAATAAGAAACACACCTCAAAGATGAATTTGCTTACACTGCATCCATTTCCCACAATCATTAAACACCACCTCTGGTTGAGAATCTATGTTACAGTAGCGAAGAGCAAATTGTCTGATCACTACTTGGCGGACATTTGAAAGGCGGGCACGCGAAGGGCATCTTGCACATTCAAGAACATTTTGTGAGTAATCAGGCTGCAGACAGATCATTCCGCTGAAGGAAAACCAACACTTACCGAACCATCCACCTAAACTTTACCATTCATACAATTTTGTATTCTTTTAAATTGATCAGAACGTAATAAACGGAAATATACCGTTGTTTATGGTAACGATACAAAATAATATTCACGGACGTGCCCATTATTGCGGAGGGATATCCCGAATCTATTTATAGAGAAAATGGCGGGGGCTGGATGGAGCAGGACTTGAAATGTGCGCGACCAGGCCAGCCCGCCAGCACACCACCAATCCCTTCAGCTGCTGCCAGTGAATAAAAGTCACAACCATTACAACCGCTACTCAGACCATACTTCGCTAAACGAGTTGAAAAGTGTCTGTGATTGTGTTTACATTTTGAAACCTCATCGACGTGTGAATCGCAGTTGGATTTATTTAGCAATACTTTGTGATTTCTGGATTATTTCTGTGGATACATTACATCTATCATCTAGTGCCGTGAACTGCTTTCTAAGCAGCGTGCTGTCAGTATTCACGACGGAAAACTTCATAGGATATAGAAACGGCTGCTTTCAGGGTTGGATAAAGGATCTTGCGAATATGATTTCGCGTAAAGTTGGTGGACACGTAGCTAGTTTCTTACACTGTGCAGTAAGCCACCAGGAGATCAGCTGTCATCAGCAGAGTCAGCAGTTGTTTCAGCAGCATCTACAGCAACAGCATCTACAACAACAGAACTTAATGAACAGTAGTACGGACCTGAACCAATCGTCCTTAAGCATGAATGGGCTCAAAGTAAAAAGTAAGAATCGTTTGGCTGTATTTATAGTTACTATGGTATTATTTATGTCCTCGTTCATATGCGTGTGACAGAGAGAGAGAGAGAGAGAGAAAGACATTGTGTTCAACATATTACTGTAAACATATTACAGTGTTAGTGGTGACTGTTTCTAAAATAATTTATTTCCCTTTTAAATAAAACTCTCTCTCTCTCTCTCTCTCTCTCTCTCTCTCTCTCTCTCTCTCTCTCTCTCTGTCTCGCCTTCTATGTCACTTTCGGCGTCTGTCCTTTAGAAAATCAAACTTATTGTTGATGTTTTAGTAGTAGTTTTCGCTTTTCGACACTCTTCCGAATACCGGTCCCAAATTATTCGCTGTGAATTATTCCCTTTGAGAGCCTCAAGAGGTTATGTAGTAAAAGCATTTAGGCCATTATCAGTTTCAACTGCCCCTGCCGAAGATTCGAGTGTTTGGTTCAAATAATATATATAACAACGCGAAGCAAATTGTGGTGTGACATTCTTGTATGATTGTCTTTCGTTGAACTTCCTAGCCATGGGCCTAATAGGTTGTGTTTAGCGTTATTTGTAACACCCTCATTCATCAGGGAGAATTAAGAATACTGTAGTGTTCATTTAACTTCTCTCTCTCTCTCTCTCTCTCTCTCTCTCTCTCTCTCTCTCTCTCTCTCTCTCTCTCTCTCTCTACCTACCTACCTACCGTCCTCCTTATCTCAGCCTCTGACTTGAAATATAGTTAAAACGATAGAAATAAATAAGTGGGACACAGGGGTCCGTTGCAAGTCACAATTACACAATTACCCTATCTGATGCAGTCTTTTAGTTCCCAGTTTTTTATGTTTTAGCCCTCACTTCTCCGCTTTGTTTAGCGCCCTAATTCAAGCATACCCCATCATTGTAACCTTTTTGAAGAAATGTGTGCACCTGATTTCGTGTAGACTGCCAGTCTACACTGTCACAACCATCTAATTCCCGTTAATCTGTGGCCTCGGGGGTGTCTCGACAATTCGTTATATCGTTATACTTTGAGTTTGCTCAACAACTGTATGCGCCTAGTTGCCCATAATTTAAGTACACTAGTTCTGTCAGCGAGAAGTTTGTCGTCATTTGCACAGTTCGTGGCGACTGCTCTGGCTATGCGGCTTTAAGCATTCAGGCTCACAAACCTCTCCCCCACCTTCCACAACCACTTTCCCTAGTTCGCGACACAACCATTTGGTAAATTCAGGCGGTAAAAACATAAAATGTTTGTGTTAGTCTAATGTCTGTTTACTACTGCTAGTAATACCTATGATTGTATTTGCCATGCTATTTGTGGTTATCGTGCTATGTTGATATTTGTCATATGTGTATCATGCTATGTTTGTGTTTTGGCCAAGTGGAGAACACACAGCTCACAAGTAAAGGACGCTTCACACATTAAGGCGCATCAGACATACGATGCTAGCTCCATTTTGATAGACTGGTCAGTGGGTGGTGATTCACATCGCAGCACTCCGGCCACCTTTACTTTCCATGATATTTCATGATCCCTATTTAGATCTGAGAAGCGGGGGAGGGGGGAAGGAAGGAGAGGTGTCAGTTCTTAAAACAGTCGTCGGTGCGAATTCAGACCCACAGGTAGACATGCAAGTTTGCTAGAGCCTGCACTGTCACTGCTCGAACCGTTATACACGTTGCAGGAACTGTCACTAATTAAAATGCAGTTGTGTCTGTGTGTCTCTGTCCTGTTGATTGATTCATTGATTGATGCGGTACGTTACTTAAACATCGTCTTCTGCTGTCTCTACAGGTTACCGCCAGAACGAGAGTCTAGAAGGATATTACGAAGTGGAGAACGTTCTAGGCTCGGGCGGCTTTGGAACTGTGTATGCAGGTTTTCGCAGGAGGGACGGCTTACAGGTAAGTTTTCAATCTCTCTCGTCTAGACTTGCAGTTTTGCCTTTTTTCCCCCTAGAATAAACAAATTAGTATAAGCAACCACATAAACTCTTTTTCCACGCCTCCAGTCGTTAAATACAGCTGTATTGAAAGACCAGTGGTCACTCTGTGGGTGATGTAAACATCATGCCTGCCGCCTTTACTTCCCAGGACTCGTTAGTGCCCATTTTAAGACTGGATGGACCTGGGGCCAGGCCGTTTTTGAAGAAAAGAAAAAAAAGTCCGGCTGCTTCATGCTCTGAACCTACGACCTTTCAGTACACAATTGAGCATCTAGAAGCTACACCACCGTGGCCTCTTAAGCAACTTGATGATGACTGGCCACCACTATGACAGTTTGTGCAGTCACATTTAGTGTATATATTTTTAATAGATTCCCTTGACTGTATTCGTGAATGACAACGAGCTAGCACACTGACAACAGTGATAACTTTATTCAATCAACTGACCTCATTTGAAGTTGTAATTATACATTAATTTAGACATGTATCAATACCTTTGTGATTTGTATGTTCTTGTATAACATTATATGATCTTATTTCAGGTCGCAATCAAACATATCTCCAAAAAGAAAGTATCCTCGTGGACAAAGTTGGTGAGTAGATTTATGACATGGTGTTGTAGCGGCTGTATGTTTGTGTGTGTGACTGTTACCTTCTTGTGGTTGTATTGCAGAGTTGTGGCAGGGTTTTTATATTTACATGTGTATGTGCGTGCGTTTCAAAGTGTAAACTATAAATTGGAGCCACTTCTTGTTTTCCTAAAAGCCGCCAACTTTGCAGCAGGAATCAGTCACGACCTTTCCCACTTTCCATTCGACCTGTTGTGAAGAAATGGAAGGAGGGCAGTCTGCACTGACATGGGCGGCGCGCCAAATATTTGAGAGGGCACGATTCAAGTCTGCCTGCAGGGAATCTATTTGCAGACGGGCCGACTTTTCAGTGCATGTACATCCTTGAGCACTGAAGACCTGGCGTCAGTGTTCCTGAAAGCAACTATACCTGGGTTTCTTTAAAGCTACTAGACCAGGAAGAGGGGAAATATTGACATTCTTCAGGATCTGAACATTAAAAAGGGGACTGACTGGGCTCATCGACCATATATATCGTTTCTCGGAAACTGGAATACTTTGGCCGTATTAAACGCCGCAGTAGTTCAGTTTATGGGTTTACAGCAATGAAAGGTATGGTTCAAAGAAGAGGCAGGAATCGACTAGCACGACAGCGGACACAGCATGTTGAGAACGTGTTAGGGATAAAAGTTCATCAGGCAGCATCCTTACTTTTCTCTGCAGGGATCCCATGTTCGAACTCCAATGTTCATCTGAGTGCGTAATTGCTGTTTACAGCATAGCTGCGATATTTGCACATTTAGGTCGACACGCATCTTTTTTTCAGGAGTATGTTGTCAGGGTTAGCCTTCCGGGCCATGGATTATACTTTGATATCTATGTTGTGGGTGGCACTGTAATATCTCTGTTGTGGGTGGTACTGTAATATTTTTGTTGTGGGTGGTACTGCATGATCTGTTGCGTGGAATGTAAACACATCGCTAACTCAGAGAATATAGCGTAACCATATATGCGGCTGTCTCTACGGTTTGGTAGCAGTTTTGTTTTCTCACTCAAGATTCTTTATGAACTCAGACTATCCCGTTTGATGGATCGTCTCGTTCAGACGGATGCTGCCTCGCTTCAGATGAAGTGAAGCGTCCTCCACCTTCCACCCCATATTACAGCCACGGTTATGACACAACACAAATTGCAAATAGTTATCGTCTCGGATGTCGCCGCCATGAGTGCACATAACATGCATACGTTTCTCACGTGACAACGCAGTCATGCAGTATCTTCACTGCTAGGACATCAACACCAAACAACAGGAGGTGGCCTCTCTCCTACCCTGCCCTCGGTACTTGAAGATAGGACGGAACTTGGTGCGACCCAGTGTCTGACACGGACAGCTTGTTGTGTCCGGGTGTCTTTGTTGTCCTCACAGCTTCATACCGGGTGTTCGCACGTCCTTGTAGGCTTGTGTCTAACAGTGGAATGTCATCTTTACACTTCTTTTTAAACAGAGTGAACTCTGAATTGCACATTGGGTGTTCTATCCGCCATTATTTACTGGCGTTTATATATCTAGTCTGCCCGGTGTAGCGCAGATAGAAAAACATTAGAAGCAGGGCTAGCAATGCTGCCCCCCCCCCCCATGTCTGGGGTTTTTAAATGACGCCTTATATAAAAGTGGTAAATGCTTCGTTCGAATTATTTTTATATTTGGATTGTGGGCAAGATTTAGGAGAACCCCGTAACGGACAGAAGGATAAAGGGGGATAACCAAGCATCTGGTCACTACTTTATTTTATAAGGGACACTGATCCCTTTTGTGAAAACCACGAGTGCTGTTATGTGAACCAGTACCAATGTTCCTAGTTGATATCTTTAAATGGAGAGTTATTGTTTAAACACGCACAAGGATATACCAGACATCCGGGATCTTGGTAAACAGGATTCTGTGACAATGTGAGAACAAATGTTTTTTTTCTGGTTGTGGGCGCAGTCGTACTTTGAAACACGAACGCGCCCGCGCTGCAGACGTCATAGGGCAAAGTCTTGTACGCTTACGGATGCGCTTAAATGATGCGTTACACTTTACATACATGAGTGTCTTGTTTCTTGTTTCTAGAATAAGGTCCATGGTTTTACTTGCGTACGATTGTAATGGCTTGCATTTTGTTCCGCTTGAGGCCTGCAGTTACTAGCACTATTGTGTGTCGGTGCGGCGGTGGTGCGTTCCAACCTTACTGAAGTGGATTTTACAAGTTCCAGATAGACTTAAGTATAAAGTGGTTACCAGAAGAGTATTATAGAAAATAAACGCAGTCGATATATGGTTTTACTATATCGCCTATGCGGTCCATTTGGTGGCACCATATGCCGGTACTTTTCTTTTAGTTAACCCATCTCGGGGACTATCAGATTTCTTAAGGAGTTCACGAGAAAGTCCAATATTATGGGGGAATCGATAACTCCCAACGAAATCTCGGAGTCCCCGAGAGGGGGTAACTTAAAAGAAAAGATCCTGTATACCTTGGTCTTAAGGTTAGTTGCGTATCATTTACAGGACGTTGCAGAACCAACCCCAGCAACCCCTGGCTGTTGTGTAGTTTTTCTAGGCAAATCTACGTCCAGTAGTTTGCCATTGACTGAACGGTCGGCTTTCTTGATACCACTGTCGAAACCAACGCAAGGCGCATGGCCCTCAGCTGGGATCGAACCCGGCATCACGAAGCGTTCGCATCGACTTAGCCACAGAGCCGACATACCGAGGTCTACCGGCATGAAAAAAAGTCATCTACTTGAAGCTGCTCCTAACAACACTTGGAGGCCAACTCGGGCGTCGTGATGTACAGTTTGGGATCCACTGGTAAATAACATTGGATAACATAGCCAGCTTGGGCGGTACAGGGCTCTTTACGTAACAAGCATGCGTACTTAACGTGCCCGTGAACGACTCGTGTCCCGTAGAGAGGGCTGGCTTTTGAGGTCGTTGAAGTTGTTTGAACCAAGCTAACTTCACCGACGCCCTCTATACAGCGCCACACACCGAGGCAAAGTTACAACTAATGGGTGCATGTCAGTATGTGTGTGTGCGCGCGTATTCATAACACCACTTATATTTCATAACTGACCAAGTCTTTCTTGTTATGTGTTATTCTGTTTTCTCAACTTTACATAGTCCTAGAAACGGAAAGTGTAGATAGTCCCAGAACGGAAAGTGTAGATAGTCCCAGAAACGGAAAGTAGATAGTCCTAGAAACGGAAAGTGTAGATAGTCCCAGAAACGGAAAGTGTAGATAGTCCCAGAAACGGAAAGTGTAGTTAGTCCCAGAAACGGAAAGTGTAGTTAGTCCCAGAAACGGAAAGTGTAGATAGTCCCAGAAACGGAAGGGTGTAGTTAGTCCCAGAAACGGAAAGTGTAGTTAGTCCCAGAAACGGAAAGTGTAGATAGTCCCAGAAACGGAAAGTGTAGATAGTCCCAGAAACGGAAAGTGTAGATAGTCCCAGAAACGGAAAGTGTAGATAGTCCCACAAACGGAAAGTGTAGATAGTCCCAGAAACGGAAAGTGTGGATAGTCTCATATTAAGATTCCTTATTCTGAGTCACAAAACAATGAAAGCTGGCTACGTCCCTCCCTCACTACTGCTTTTTTCTTTCCAGTGCATTAGATGCCATCTCGGCAATACAGTATTCCCAACGCCTCCTTCATGAAGCATTCTTATTCACATTTTTAGTCAATCATTTGATATCGTCCTTCTGCTTGTAAATTTAAAATGTGCATTCCACCTTTTATAGGCTGTCGTTTTTCAATTTACTGTATGTGTTTGGGTCGACAACTTTTCCTTTCTAACTGGAATCCCGGGGATCTGGGGTTCCAGAGAGTGGGGGAGGGGGTGTGCGCTTAGAATCACTGCCACTGACAAGCAGACTGTGAAAAGCGACCAGTTAGGGATTCCATGCGAAGCCAGACAACATCTACATGAGAGACGAAGAACCAAAAGTCTGCAAATAAATCAGCTATATCTGTGAACCGGATGTGCGATTAGAAGTTCTAGAACAAGACCACCAATCAGAAGTGGGTGATCAACCAGAACTTTCCATCGGAGTTTACAGTCGGTAAACGTTAAGCAGGCCAAAAGAAGACTGGCGGGACCGGAACGAAGAACTTTGCCACTGCTGGCATTCAGACTTTGGTCAGTGCTCATGAGCAGTGATACTAACTAGGACACGCCTTGGAAGCCGACTTTACACGGATAGCATGGAGACACGACAGTGGCAGCATCTGACAGTGGCAGAGATAGGAGCTGGTTCGTTTTAGGTCAGGGTATTGTGAAGTGTGGTGACTAGTTCGTAGCCCACACCGTACACATCCGGTCATCATCATGTGCCATGACGATCGTAGGCGGTAATGTTTCGTTGTCTCACATGATGACTTGAGTGACGGATCAAGTTAGTGCTCTTGTCTCGCCCTATCCTTGTGGTCAAACCATCCAGGTATTACCCTTCCTTTAGTAGACCTTCATATTGGCTACGAAAGGTCACGGCGCTAGAAGTTTTGTCTGTAGTCTATCGTTAAGTATTGCTAAATATTTATCACCTTATTAAGTATATATAACCATTACCAACTTTTGCCGAGAATTAGGACCACGCAAGTTATTTCGTTACTCTGTTCCATGTTTTAAAATCCATACTTACCCAGCCAACGCCACGGTTAAATGGCGTGTTATATGATTGTATGAAGACATTCTTTCTAAGAGTTTTTTTTTTAATGGAAAAGGGCGGGGGGGGGGGGGGGGGGGTCTCTAAACAAATGTTCCGTTGAGCCGTTGGGGAATTTTATTTACTGCAGTAGGTAACGCACTTGGCTTTTATCAGATTAGATAAGGTGTTTTCACTTTCTAAATTCACCTCCAATTTGAGGTCACCAGGGCGTCCTTTAGCGCGGGTATGCGGGATATCAAATGTGTGTCATGTGGCAAGGGGGTGTGTTGTATGCAAGAGTACATACAGTAGAGAGAATGAGTTCATATAGATATGAGATGGTATTGCCGGAGAGAGGGGTGTTGCTTTAGAGACACGATCAATTCACCAGTGGTGGTTTTGGTGCCGCAGTGAACCATTACAAAGAGTGTGCAATAAGGCTTACAATTAAAGCTACGCGGTTTACTGTAAGGCCTAATGAAGATATTAAAGTTGATGTCTTTTTCAGTGGCAATCTCTTGGCTCTCATTTTGAAGCCGGCGAGACTGCGGCTATACTTATAGGGGATATGGGGGAGGATGGAATCACAGCCGCTGGGCTTGATTGTCGGACCTTTGCGCTAACCTACCCCATTCTGGTTATATCAGTAGTTGGTCCGAAGGTATTGGATTCGAATTGGCATCGAGGTTGATTGTTAAAAATTGGCGCAAGGTCCCCATATGACTCAGACTTATAGGGATACAAGAAAATGCTATAAGCTTGTGGTGTGGTATTGTGATGTTTTGGTGTGATGTCACCCTTTGAATGCCCTTCGGTCTGACACCTGTTTAGCACCGTATGCCCGATGCCATAATAGCGTGAAAACAGTCCTTGACTTCCACTTGTATCGTCTCCGATGTCGAGGGAGACACACTGTTCTAGTTCCTGCTTCTCTGGCTGCCTCGACGACCATAGAGACAACCTTTTTGAACGGTTTCTCTGATGTTATCTGTCCACGTTGTTCTACGTCCCCGTGTGACTGTATGTCCCTGTCTTCTGTCAGCATTGCTACTCTAAGTTGGCTGACCGCTTGTTTTACTGTTTTGCTTGTCTTATATAGGGCAAAGTAGATCAACAACTGTTATTAGTAAAATTGTTGTGATTTTTAAAGTTTAAATAACTGGGTTTATTGAATGTTATGTTTACCATCGTTTTTTCTTGTCTTTCTCAGCCCAACGGCCTGCAGGTTCCTCTAGAGCTCCATCTTCTCCATCGTGTCCAGCATGTAGCCGGTGTTATCAAACTGATCGAGACATTTGAGCGGGACGACAGTTTCTTCATCATCACGGAGCGTCCAGAAAACGTCAAAGACTTGTTTGACTATATTACTGAACGCGGTCCACTGGGCGAGGACGAGGCCAGGGTGTTTTTCGTGCAGATCGTTCAGATGGTACAGAACATAGAGAAATGTGGTGTACTGCACAGGGATATTAAAGACGAGAATGTGCTGGTGAACGTCAAGACGGGTCAACTGAAACTCATAGACTTCGGCTCAGGGACTATTCTTAGGGAGGCAGACTATGACGACTTTGATGGTGAGTTTTACAGCCTGTGGTGGTCTCGCTTGTGTTTTATTTACGTGTTTACTCTTTTTTTTTTTTTTGTTCTCTAAAACAGATCTGTTTTCAAAATCTGTCGACTGTGTTATGTTTCGATTGTTATTTCAAACATTTGGGAATATTGCTGGCATATTTTTAGTGATATCCACTACTACTACTACTACTACCACCACCACACCTACCAATACTGCTACCACTGTTTGTTGTAGCTGCTCTCTCTTTCTCCTCTTGGTCTTCCACGACACTGTTACTGCCGCCATTGCTGTTTATTGTAGATGTTCTTTCTCCTCTGTTTTCGTCCCCATCTTCTTTTGTTTCATATTCTTCCTTTCCGTCTAATTCTGACATTTTCTTTCTGTTATGTCTAGCTCCACACTTCAGCATCTTTTATTTGTTGAAAGGGACCCGTCTGACACCACACCATTGGTGTATCTGCTAGAGCTGTCTTGTTTGCTCTGGCAACATATTGACACTGTACGTTCTTGTGTCTGATCCAGAAAGTTGTTTCTGTTCTCCTCCTTTGTCTACACCACACACGTGCTGTTTACGATCGGGCTTCAGACATAAAAGTGAGTGTATGTGTAGTCATCATCTCTTCTGCACTGTTAGAAAACACATTCTAACAAAGTAGACGCAAATATTACACAGTAGAGAAAGTAAGCCAAGGACCATTTTATGCCTTTTAGCGCATTGGGTATATAGGGCTAGACCACAGTTTGTTTAGACCAATCAGCACTCTGTGGATGATGATATTGTCAGCATCAGCCCAGTCACCTTTACCTCACAGCACATTTTCAAATACCCATTTGAGGCAGCGTTGACCTGAGAGCAAATGTCGTGGGTTTATTTTGATTGAGAGCATTTTCTAAACGTAGTTTATTTGTAACAGCCGACCATGACCCTATGCCAACTCCATTTCTGCTCCACAGGAACGCGTGTGTACAGCCCTCCAGAATGGATCAGCAACCGCCTGTACAACGGCAGACAAGCAACAGTTTGGTCGCTAGGGATTCTCCTCTTCGACCTGGTCAATGGGGACATTCCATTCGAGCAGGACGAGCAGATCAAGGCTGCCGAGCTCCACTACAAGGTTCATCTTTCTCAACGTAAGTTTCCTAGATGTTCTTCACCTCCTGCACCTTCTGTTTGTGTGTCTTGTTATCATTTAGGTTTTAATTCAGCAGCAAGACTCTCGCTGTAGTGTTCATGTTCCTTACCAGCATTAGACAGTAGAATATGCCAGGATTATACTTGGTGTGGCCTTTTTGTTGATATCCCAACCGTCTTTCTATACACTAGTAATGTGGTGCTACAGGGAGGGATGGGTGGGAGTCCCTTCTTTCCATAGCACAAAGCTTGGGCAGCATTATAGAGCCTAATGTTGCCCAGTCTGTCTGCCTGCCTGCTGTATTTAGCTTAGGATGTTCACTGAGGTGCCCGGGACTGGCTTTGTGTGATGGCTATCCAGCTATGACTCTGATTTGTGGGGGGTGGGGGGTCCAAACCTGGTAGCAGCTCAGATGGAAACAACAGTTGGACACATCTGCCCTAGAGGCCAGGAACCAAAAGTCTGTATACAGCTTAACCAGATGTGCAAACACAACTTGGGTTGTGGAACAAGGCTGAAGTCCAGAAGTAGATAAACAACTAGAACCTTTATCCGGAGTTCACAGTTGGTGAATGCAAAGAAAAAGAAATAAAACTCCTATTTACTTATTGGTATAAAATAATTGGTATTGTGTATAAAATTAACCATATATTATTTTTTTTTTTTTTTAAACAAGATATTGAGATGACGTCCTTAAGTCTGACACAACAATCATCTGTTCTTTTTTATCTTTTCAGACTGCAAAGATCTCATACGTAAGTGCCTCTCAGTTGACCCTCAACATCGACCAACTCTGGAGCAGATTCTTCTGCATCCATGGATGACCAAACTCCCTCCTCCAGTTCAGATTCCAGAAAGCCGAAAAAGAACAACAGCATCTGGAAAAGTTGTTGACATTGCCGTCCCAAGCAACAGTGCAAGCCTTTGATTGTACAGACGTCCTTGTCTTCATTTTAATGCAGCATTCACTGCAGACGGAGAGCTGGACACTAGGCAGACTCTCGCTTGTGTCATTGAGAAGGCAAGACTTCAGTATTGAGGCCTAAACTTATCAGGCTCAACAATGAATGCCTTGACATTTTCAGAATGTAGAAGGATGCCAAGATTGTATCAGTTGTGATGCCTTGATATCAGGTTCAAGAAAGAGTGATTTGACAGTTTCAAACTGCAAAAGGATGCCTAGATCTTGTCAGGCTATAGCAAGAACGCGTTGACATTAGCCTCAACAAAGAATTCCTTGACATTCTCATGCTTCAGAATGGATTACAGAGCATAAGAACATTTTACTGCCTTCGGAATTCCAAGCAACTATTCCTTCCAGGACATACGGTTACTCATACCGCAGACTCCAACAGAGCCATTGTGTCTTCTTGGTTTCCAGTAACAATCACCCACACGCTCAGTTACCATCTCAGACTCTTGCATTGCTGCAGGATACTCGAAGACCTCTCGACATCTTTTAGTGATATTAGTCAGATCATGTGCTTCTGTCGTCATGTAACCTCAGTGATGTTGTGTGCATTAAACAGGAATTAAAGACTGTAATGCTAGTCTATAGCAAGAATATTGTGAAATATGTGGTGCATTTATTTCCATTGGACATTCATGATATTCTCCAGTAGTTTCTGTGCATCACATTCTGACCGGCTTGGATTCGAATTCTTAGTAAAATGTCTAATATAATGCTGTAGCAAATCTGCCATTCAAACAAACAGAGAGTTACAGCCCGGCCTTACACGAGTGTCAATATTTATCCATTCGTTTGGTATAATCATGGAAACTACTAGTAATGACAGTTGTCTAGCCAAGGAAGAATATTTGAAGAAGCTGTCAGATTGGATTGTAGAGAATTTTTCCTGGTGTCATGTGGATTTTAGAAAAACTTTCCGGTGTCATGTGGATTTTAGAAAAACTTTCCGGTGTCAGGTGGATTGTAGAGAAGCTTTCCGGAGTCAGGTGGATTGTAGAGAAGCTTTCCGGTGTCAGGTAGATTGTAGAGAAGCTTTCCGGAGTCAGGTAGATTGTAGAGAAGCTTTCAGGTAGATTGTAGTTTCCGGTGTCAGGTAGATTGAGATTTCCGTAGAGAAGCTTTCCGGTGTCAGGTAGTCAGAGAAGCTTTCCGGTGTCAGGTATTGTAGAGAAGCTTTCCGGTGTCAGGTGGATTGTAGAGAAGCTTTCCGGAGTCAGGTGGATTGTAGAGAAGCTTTCCGGTGTCAGGTGGATTGTAGAGAAGCTTTCCGGTGTCAGGTAGATTGTAGAGAAGCTTTCCGGTGTCAGGTGGATTGTAGAGAAGCTTTCCGGTGTCAGGTGGATTGTAGAGAAGCTTTCCGGTGTCAGGTGGATTGTAGAGAAGCTTTCCGGTGTCAGGTGGATTGTAGAGAAGCTTTCCGGTGTCAGGTGGATTGTAGAGAAGCTTTCGGGTGTCAGGTGGATTGTAGAGAAGCTCTCCGGTACCAGGATAAACCCAGATAGGATTGCTGAGTAGTTATTTGATGTTCAGAAAATCCCAGATGGGATTGAGAGTAGTTACCTGGTGGTCAAGAATTTCACTGATAGGATTGCTGAGTAGCTTTATAGTGTCAAGATAATCCAGATGGGATTGAGAGTAGTTACCTGGTGGTCAAGAATTTCACTGATAGGATTGCTGAGTAGCTTTATAGTGTCAAGATAATCCAAGATAGGATTGCTGAGTAGCTTTATGGTGTCAAGATAATCCAAGATAGGATTGCTGAGTAGCTTTATAGTGTCAAGATAATCCAAGATGATTGCTGAGTAGCTTTATAGTGTCAAGATAATCCAAGATAGGATTGCTGAGTAGCTTTATGGTGTCAAGATAATCCAAGATAGGATTGCTGAGTAGCTTTATAGTGTCAAGATAATCCAAGATAGGATTGCTGAGTAGCTTTATGGTGTCAAGATAATCCAAGATAGGATTGCTGAGTAGCTTTATGGTGTCAAGATAATCCAAGATAGGATTGCTGAGTAGCTTTATAGTGTCAAGATAATCCAAGATAGGATTGCTGAGTAGCTTTATGGTGTCAAGATAATCCAAGATAGGATTGCTGAGTAGCTTTATGGTGTCAAGATAGATAGATTGCTGAGTAGCTTTATGGTGTCAAGATAATCCAAGATAGGATTGCTGAGTAGCTTTATAGTGTCAAGATAATCCAAGATAGGATTGAGAATAGTTACCTAGTGTCCAGATAATGCCTGATAGGATTTCTGAATGGTTCTCTGGTCTCCAGATAATCCCAGTTAAGGTTGCTGAGTAGCTCTCTGAAGTCAAGATAATCCCAGATAGATGATTATTGAGGGTCAGATAATATTGTTTATTTCCCTGGTGACAAGATAGTCCCAAATAGGATTGATGACTAGCTCTCTAGTGTCCAGATAATGCCAGATACATTATTGGTCAGTTCCCTCAAGTGAAGGTAAAGCCCGATAGAGGATTGTTAAATAGTTCCGGGACATGAAATTTCAGCTAAAGAATTGTTAGTCCCTCAACTGTCTCAAAATATTAACATGAAATTCCTCAACAGCATCTTCTTTAGGCCATCATCAGTTTGCTGTATCATCTTTTGTTGTTCATTTTTTGTGTGTGACAAAACTGTTTATCTCCTTCACACATATGAACTAAGAAACATTCCAGAATAGTTTTAGTTTTCATGTGAGATTATTGACCATATTAATTGCACAATGTGTTAGTCAGTGCCCCCCCCCCCCCCCCCTCTCTCCCCCATGCTCACATCATATGACTTACATGTTCATCGCAGAGTATTGCAAGGTGCTATTCATATTTCATGAACATATGATTATGTAATGTCATTAGAGCAGGGCAGATGAACAAATTAATGTTGTATTAACGAATGTTATCAGTTGCAGGCCAAGTAAATTTGAGGACAAAATAAACTGGCTGAATTAGGTGACTTAGAAATATGCGTGCAGATGTCAGCGTTGATGTTCTGAGCAGGGCAGGTGAAAGTAGTTTCTAGAGGACTTACAGAGATTGTCTAAAGTGTTAGTCCTTTCCGTATTTGATAGCAGGACTTACAAGGCGGAGTTGCCACATTTCCTTTCCTCATTGGCTCTCCTCAAACAAGTCGCCAAAAATATATGCTAACTTATTTTTTTCTGAGGATTTGTTAAACGTATTGGTAAAAAAAGAATAAATAAATTTGACCTTTTAAGATTGAACCTGGAACATTATTGTGGCAGGCGACTGCACTGATCCCTGCGCCCATGTGGCTCTTCAGCATGATATAAAGAAATAATTCACGTGATGTGCCATGTTTGTGTGTCTGAAAGCCTGTCACTTCTGGCCAACTAGTAATTTATACGCCTTATCAGTTAACTGCATATATGTCTGTTGTAGCTTTGTTGCTTGCATTTCTTGTCTGTTTTACATCTAGTGTTACATCCTTAGAAGGAAAATGGACATTAGTCTTGCTTGTCGCAGTTTGTACTCAGCTGGAGCGGTAGGGTGGTGTGTTGTTGATTGTGTTTGTACTCAGCTGAGATGGTAGCGTGGTGTGTTGTTGATTGTGTTTGTACTCAGCTGGGATGGTAGTGTGGAGGGTTGTTGATTGCGTTTGTACTCAGCTGAGATGGTAGCGTGGTGTGTTGTTGAGTTTGTACTCAGCTCCGATGGTAGTGTGGTGTTTTGTTCAATGAGTTTGTACTCAGCTGGGATGGTAGTGTGTTGTTGATTGTGTTTGTACTCAGCTGGGATGGTGGTGTGTTGTTGATTGTGTTTGTACTCAGCTGGGATGGTAGTGTGGTGTGTTGTTGATTGTGTTTGTACTCAGCTGGGATGGTAGCGTGGTGTGTTGTTGATTGTGTTTGTACTCAGCTGAGATGGTAGCGTGGTGTGTTGTTTATTGTGTTTGTACTCAGCTGAGATGGTAGCGTGGTGTGTTGTTGATTGTGTTTGTACTCAGCTGGGATGGTAGTGTGGAGGGTTGTTGATTGCGTTTGTACTCAGCTGAGATGGTAGCGTGGTGTGTTGTTGAGTTTGTACTCAGCTCCGATGGTAGTGTGGTGTTTTGTTCAATGAGTTTGTTCTCAGCTGGGATGGTAGTGTGTTGTTGATTGTGTTTGTACTCAGCTGGGATGGTAGTGTGGTGTGTTGTTGATTGTGTTTGTACTCAGCTGGGATGGTAGTGTGTTGTTGATTGTGTTTGTACTCAGCTGGATGAGTGTGGTGTGTGTTTGTACTCAGCTCCGATGGTAGTGTGGTGTGTTTTTTGTACTCAATGAGTTGGTACTCAGTGTGTTGTAGTGTTTGTACTCAGCTGGGATGGTAGTGTGTGTCAATGATTTGTTTGTACTCAGCTGGGATGGTAGCGTGGTGTGTTGTTGATTGATTTTGTACTCAGCTGGGATGGTAGTGTGGTGTGTTGTTCAATGAGTTTGTACTCAGCTGGGATGGTAGTGTGGTGTGTTGTTCAATGAGTTTGTACTCAGCTGGGATGGTAGTGTGGTGTGTTGTTGATTGATTTTGTACTCAGCTGGGATGGTAGTGTGGTGTGTTGTTGATTGATTTTGTACTCAGCTGGGATGGTAGTGTGGTGTGTTGTTGATTGTGTTTGTACTCAGCTGGGATGGTAGTGTGGTGTGTTGTTGATTGAGTTTGTACTCAGCTGGGATTGTAGTGTGGTGTGTTGTTGATTGAGTTTGTACTCAGCTGGGATGGTAGTGTGGTGTGTTGTTGATTGAGTTTGTACTCAGCTGGGATGGTAGTGTGGTGTGTTGTTGATTGAGTTTGTACTCAGCTGGGATTGTAGTGTGGTGTGTTGTTGATTGTGTTTGTACTCAGCTGGGATGGTAGTGTGGTGTGTTGTTGATTGTGTTTGTACTCAGCTGAGATGGTAGCGTGGTGTGTTGTTGATTGTGTTTGTACTCAGCTGTGCCATATGATGATGGGATGTG